GCTGTCCATTCACCCTGGAACTCCTCCTTGGTAACTGCCTTATCAGCTGCAGCCTGTTCTTCTTTTTCAATCTGAAGAGGAGGCAAATCAAGTTACAACTATAAATTAAAGTTTTCTGGATAGCATCAAAACCTTTTCTGAGCCTAGTTTGAAAATGAGTACAAACTTATACTGTGCGCTATGGATTTCTGTATTTAAGCAAAGTATCTCCTTGACGCATTTAATACTTCCTTTTTCAGGATTATCAGATCACACATTGTAGAAAACATAAAGTCATATTACCAATGCAAAACCACTTATTTCAATCAGAAAGTAATTATAAATCTAGTCAAATATGTTACATTTTTACCTCTTCAGGATCTCGGTAGAAATAGAGATCAGGCATAACTTCCCATGGATGCTCACGGGAAATAGTGCCACGCATTCGCAGGACTTCTCGAGCCAACATCCACCACATCAGACCAACTGAGTGAGCTCCCTAAACATTTGTTAGATATTGGTTGATCAGATTTTCAACACATTCATTTAAGTTCATGAATAACTATTTAACCAAGTCTAAATAAAAGGATCACGCTATTAAACAATTCAAGAAGAAAACAAAATATAGCTTAACCCAGCTTGATTTTCTTCAGCTAACAGTTTGTTATAAATATGTAGCAAGAATCACTATCAAACCCCATTCATTGAACCCAAGAGGTTCTTATGGTGTTAGCGAAAAGACTTGCAAAAGCTGATGTAGCACACTTCCTACACTCAGAAGTTCTTTAGATAGAAACTATCCTCAGTTCTGAGTTCTAACAAGCGTGCATATATTTCCCTCTCTCCAAAAATGTTTAAAACCTGAAAACAAATTTTATATCAGACCTACTTAAAAATGTTTTGCACAACCACCACAGCTAGAAGTGCTTTTTGAAAAAAAACATAAACGTACTGGAAGACATAGTACCTTGTTGTTGCAGGGAATAGCAATATCCACATAACGTAGAGGAGAATCTGTATTACACAAAGCAATAGTGGGAATGTTTACATAAGATGCTTCAGTCAGTGGCTGATGATCAGCTCTTGGATCAGTGACTACCAAAAGGCGGGGTTCACGAAAAGCAGCCTGGATCTGATTTGTAAATGTGCCAGGAGTGAACCGGCCAGCAATTGGGGTTGCACCAGTAGCTGCAGCAAATTTCAAAACAGCACGCTACAGATAAAAGAAATGACAAAATGGATTATATGTTTCTAACGTCTGATGACGGATATGGCATAAGAATGTACATTCCCCCAAATCAATAAAACAATTACATGGCTACTCTAGTGAAGAGAAGGAACAGGGGAGACATGATAGCAGTGTTCCAATATTTGAGGGGTCAAGCTATTTTCAGAGCACCTGAAGGCCAGACAAGGAATAATGGATAGAAACTGACCAAGGAGAGATTCAACCTAGAAATAAGGAGGAACTTTCTGACAGTGAGAACAATCAACCAATGGAACAGCTTGCCCTTGGATGTTGTGGGAGCTTCATTACATGAGACTTTCAAGAAGCGATTGAACTGTCATTTGCCAGATATAGTGTAGGGTCTCCTGCTTGAGTGAGGGGGGGTTGGACTAGATGACCTATATGGTCCCTTCCAGCTGTTAGTCTGTTAATTATTAATTTTGCAAGTACAACCAAGAATGAATTGGAGAATGTCATTTTGAAGCACCACACAAAATATATTTTATTTCTTTTGTCAAAAGTTTGACTTAAAGAAAATTTAATTCATATTACTTGTTCTTAAATGGTTTCTGATGGGACATACAATTTTCATCTTCTGGCCAAGTGTATCCATACCTGCCCAGTATTCCTGGAGGAGATAACACTGACATCTGCTGGGTTCTCAATAGCTACAATGGCACGGGCAGCTAATAGCAGTTTTTCCCAGGTTCTCTTCAGATTGATGATGTAAATACCTCAATAAAAAGATGTAGGTTTTCCAATCAAATATGGGAATGCTCAACAAAATGCATAAAATCCAGCCCTCATCTACAGTTGTCTTAGAAAATCTGGAATGTGGCAGCAACTACTATCAAACCCCAGTCACACAGAAATACTCTACTGGTATTAGCGAACATCCTGCTGAAATTTACTCTAGCACACTTCCGACACTCAAGAGTTAATTGGCCAGAAAATGGCCTCAGCTCCAAGTTTTAATAGTGTGCAGTTAAAACACATACCAACCTGCTTTAAGTAAGGTCTCACTTGATTTCAGTAATAATAGAGCTCCATGAAAATATCAGCATCATATGAGGGGAAATCGACTCTTGTGCCACTGAACTTTTTAAAAGGTCCGTGTATTGGGAAGAAAAGGTGTGTTTCAGTTCATGACTTGTTCTATCAAAATTAGTTTTGGTTTCAATCCCAAAACTAATTTTGGTCTCAATTAGGCCAAATTAAACATGAACAAGGCTCACCTGAAAACAAGCCTTTTTTAACCTTTGGAACAAGGAAGAAAACTCACATAGGGGAAATATTCTGTATGTACCAACTTGGAATTTATAAATTCTGACAGTAAACCCCACTATTGGGCACAATGACGACTCTGGCATCACTAACACAAAGTGAAGCCTATAATTAACAATTTTAAAAAATCAATTTTTTACCATCGCTTTTTCTTTTATATATATATTGTTCCATCTGAAAATCTAGATTGGTGCCTCCCAAATGGGTTCCTGCAGCAAGGAATTTGAGGACATCTTCCTCCTTCATCTGTAGAACATCAAGGCCTCCGGACATTGTGAAAGTTTCCTTTTAAAGCAACGACAGGAAACCTAGAGCAAAAATCAGCATAGTTGTCTATTTTAATATATGTTTTAATCAGTACTGCCCAACTATAAAATGGAAGTAATAACAATCTATCACTGTCACTATAGAGAAAACTGTAACTATAAATCAGTTTATAAAGTGAGAATTGTTCTAATATTTCCAACTTGGTTTATGAAAAATGTTCCAGTATTCAGCAACTACATTGTAATCTAAAAAAAAAAACATTACTGTAGCAATCAAATGACATTTTTTTAAAAATATATCAACTTACTCAGACTCTGAGTAGTTTTAATGAGAAAGCTACACAACTTGAATGCTTCAAAATTTGGAAGAAATGCTTTGGTCATAGCACAAGTATGAGTACAGCAGCTGTTACTTATTTAGCATATACATCTTCAGCATTTTACAGACCTGAAAAGTTATCCCTGTACCATTTTAATGAATTCTTTCTAGTTCTTATAAGTCAAACTGATTCTGCTGGGATGAAAATATGAAAATATTAAGTACATCAATACTTAAGACTGACTGACATCTTTTAAGAAAAAGAAAACGATCCAAAGGTCATGCAATGGAAAACCTCAATCCATGCATCATTATCTCCCTCATACTTTTGGGGATAACTTTTAATAGCTGAAAAAGAGCAATATTGAGGTGCAATGTTAAAAGACGTCTGGGCTACGAACGGAACAAATCAAAGACCAGTATGTTTTTCATTTGTATGTACATCAAAAACCTAACCAGATTAATAATATGGCCTCGCATACTACTAATTTTCAATGCCTTTGTTTCAATTTTGAACTCAAGTAAATATGTGACAGCGCTCGATTTGGACTATGGTTTGGAATACGAAAGTTTCAAAACCGTCGTTAGCGCCAGGATGGCGGGAGGCCTGAAACATGCGGGGCATACCAGCCATTTCGGCAACCCAAAGTAGAGGTAGCTGCCTCTTCCCAATGCCGCCGTTTCCCACCGCCCAGCCACTTTGATTGGCCCAAGAGAGCACAATGTAACCTCTTAACACGCGTTATATGACTCACGAGATGACAACGCCGTATGAAGGGTTCTCTGATGTCGAAGAGAAAGAGGGCCGCGACGCCTGATCACGAATATATATACTCTGCTGCCCACCAATCACAAAGTCTTTCTCTGGAAAGGAAGTGACGTTGCTTGCTTTCCTTTCAGCGCGAGGACAGAACTCGCGATAATTTTCGTTCTTTTCCGAGTGTCGCCATAGGGAAGGGAAATTAGGTCAACGTAATGAACGACGGGGAGCTAGTTGCTTACCTCAGCGTTATTCAAACTTCGTGACTCCAAGGTGTTAAGCATGACCGGCAGCGGGAGTCCGGGAGTCCACACTTCTTAATTCAAAAAACGCTGTTTTACGAAAATGCCTGACGGATCTTTTAAAACTGACTGGACTGGATCTTATTAATAGGCTTTCCCTTTAAAAGTTTCACCATTCAATTGGACTGTTTGTGGGTTCTTTGCCATTGTTATTCCCACACTGACTTAACGTCTATTATTTCTAGATGTGACCCCACATTAGATTAGGCTCTCCAGAAAGAGAATTGCCAGTTACGACCCAATTCTTGAATTAAAATCTCGGGCGATTTCTAACCAAAGAAAATGGCTTAGAACGCTTTTCTGTCCCTGCTTAACTGGTCATTCTAAAATAAAAGATGGTTTTCAAATGAAAGAAAATGTGTTATTTTTACATTTGTTAACATCAGGCCACTGACTACCAATGATTCTGTACAGCTTACAATTAAAAACTAAAAAAAATCAAAAGTAGGAAACTAGTGTAAGCTTTTTGAATTCAGCTCAGAAGCTGATAATTCCAATGAAACTGAACACGAAACTACTGATAATCAGTCTTTATTTTCTGCATAAAGCAAAAAGACTTAACAGCATTTTTGTTTCCCACCTTAATAGAGCAGGCATAGAGAGAGAGAGAGAAAACAGGTGCGAACCTCACCGTCCAGTCATGAAAAAAACTTTTTGTCAAACTTCTTACAGTCTTTGCACAAGTTGTACAGATCATCATAGTGTTAGAAACATCATTTCATGTTACACAAACCTCATGATTTTTCTCAGCCCACTGAAAACAATAGACTTTAGAAGAGGAAAGAAATACATTTTCTGTCATATAAGATAGAGCTTTGCTAGGGAATGCTGAACACACATTTCAAGTTGCAAGCAAGATTATTTTACAAAATCCATTTGTTACTTTACTAGGCTAAGCTTGGCAATTTGCCTAGAAGTTTTTATCTATGAAGTTGGCATGTTAGGTTACAATGGAGCTTCTCTCAACAGCAATTTAACAAAAGCTGAATTAGGTTACACTCTGTATGCTCTAATCCTTTAGGGGTCCTTTCATTTCCTCCCTTTTAAGACAAATAGAATGTTTTCTATTGCTTGAACAATGGTGAATATTGATTGGCTACTGGTGTCAAAGTAAGAACTTTGGCAGGCTTGTCCTGCCTTTCCGAAGCCACAAATGTTATTCCAGAAATCGTGCTAGTAACCATTGATCTTATTATAGGTATCAAATAAGGTAATATCATCAATCCTTCAAAAGCCAGAGCTATGAGGAATAAAATTCTCTTCCAATCTCTAAACATTCCTTCAAACCATCTGGAGGTGTCTAAGATTCCATCCCGGGTTTGAACCGGAACGTGGGCAAGCTTCCTCCTACGGTCTGTGATTTCTTCAATTGCTTTTCCATTATCATCTATCTGGATACAGCAATTGGTTAGATTAAATTTTCCACAAATTCCTCCTCCTTTGGCTAGAAGGTAATCTAGAGACAATCTATTTTGGTAAATAGCAGTCCTTATTTGAGTATTAGTGGTAGTCAGCAAATTAAGGCCTGAAGAAGTTTCATTAGTAATTATTTCTAAAACTGCTTGTAACATAATAATTCTATTTAACATATAAACTGGGGTCTGATAACCCCAGTTACCATCTTTGGCCCAAACCGCTGGACCATACACTTGAATGATTCTTTCAGGAGGCCACTTCTTCTCCTTTCCCAATCACCTATACAACCAGGTATTTCTCGTTTTGCTCGTCCCAGCTCATATACTGCAACTCCAAGTTTTTCCTCCTTGTTTAAGGGGTAACAAGAAGCAGCTGGGCTTAATGGTTCCCAAAATACAGGCTCCTGCCCAATTTAAGGTAGCTGAGCATATGCCAATCTTCCACAGATCCAATACCAATGGTCGGGTGCGATCCATGGGAGGGAGGGAGGGATTCCCAGGATCACTCCATATTTGATACAGCAATTCTTGCGTTGATGAATTAAAAGGATTGGAACTTGACAAATTTTGGTTAGACCACCAGGAACACTTTGTAGGTGTGTCTAGTCTACATATCCATCCAGATTCACAGGCTAACTCTCCCATTGGTTCAAGATATGGAGAACCAGGTGTTTGAACAAAACATCCTTCTCCTACATCACCTTGTAGAGTCCATTGTGGTGTTGGTCTTTGCTGGTCCTTCCATGTGAAGCTATATGAGAAAATATTGGCAATGGACATTTTTTTAGCTTCCCAAGGCCATTGCTCTCCCATATTGGTTCCTCCACAAACGTAACAGTTTGTTACACTTAAACCTGCACCAATCCTCTCAGCCAGATCAATAAACAAATTTTTGGTGACTGGAGGTATCTCAGTCTTTTGTTTCATCATTTCCCAAAACACAGTATGGATCTGATAAATTTTGGGTGTCTCCTGTACTCAGACAGTTCTTACAATAATCTTTCCTTAAGGGTCTTTTCCTGGTCCTGATACTACAAGTTCAAAAACCTGAGACTTTGTGGGTGGATCTCTAAAATGTAGGCAAATAGGAGTACATGTCCCCAGAGCACAGTCTGATTTGGAAACACTTTCAGTCATGTTAAACCAAATTTCACTGGAAGTGGGATCGATGCTGGGTCCTCTCATCATCTTTATGTCGGATGTATACCAATAAGCATGACCCCTTTTAATCTCATGTATATATTTCATTTTAACAATATAGGACCTTTCTCAATTCAAGGAGCCACAACGAATTCCATAGTGATCACATTATCCCTGTCCTCGGCTTATTACTTCACAAGCATCAAAACAAATAGTCATTTCTGGGCTTTGCCCAAGTATAGTGTGGTTATAAACCAACTGTTGGGTATAATGATGATCTCCTCTCACAAATGCATATACCCATCCCTTAGTGTAAACCTTACTCCCTATGGAGTGTGAGACACCACTTGGCTACCTTTGGGCATATTGTATCTGTTCATGTGTGCAGGTGGATTTTATTCCCTGACAAGTATAATCTGAGTGGTAAACCAGAGTTTTAATGATTTTAGCTACTGTAGGAGTGTATACACTCTTTTTTCTTCAAATATTTTTTTTAATTCATTTTCATTTTCAATTTTTACAATCACTTATATACTGAGTATTTGCAATAAAAAAAGACATAAAAAGAAAACNCAAAGGATTTATTTTTTCATTTAAAAAATCCATAAAGAAAAGGAAAACAATAAAACATTAGAAAGAGAAAAGTAGAGAAAGAGGTCTTAGTCAATAACAAAATGTTTATGCCAGCATTTAAAAGAAAAAAAAGAAGAGGAAAAAAACCCCAATCCAGTTTAAAAAATATCAGGCATTGTAAAAGTCAACAAAAATTCCCACTTTAAAAAGGAAGAAAATAAAAACAATCCATTTGACTTTCTGGCCAAATCTCGCCACTTATCCACTTTCTGTCTTCAACTTTACTTTATTTTTAGACTTTTAGGATGTTCTCTCAGATGTTAATGGAAAAAAAATCTCACCAAAATGACACACTTCTCTTCTGTTTCTCTTCCATTCGGGAGCTATCCTGATTTCAGCAGCTATATATATGGCTGCCTCACTGTTGCCGGCAAGAAACAGCTACTCCTGGGTCAAACAGGGACTTTGCGATATTCCTGAGATCAACAGGATATGCCCCTATCACCATCTCTTCGAGACAGTTTAGGTTCAAAAGAACTATCCAGCAGCAGATATCAACAGCAATTGTTGAGCTACAAGATTGCATGTCATCTCATCCAGACGTCAACCCCGCCCTCTCCAGATTTAGCAGTGTTGACAGGACTCCATGTATCTAGAATACAATCATAACTATAAAACTGTTTTAAAAGTAAGAAACAAAGTTTTGACAAAGGTGTAAAGATTAATTACACCCAATCCCATCCTAGCATAGCAATAAGGAGGTATATGACTTATCTTTTCTCCCTTCCTAATGGGAGCTGGCAGGTAGAACTTTATCAGTTGATTCCATTTCTGGTAACCAAATATCCAGTAATTTTTGAAAGCTCCCTTTTACTTCTATTCCATAGAAAAGCTTTCCATAGCTAGCTTACATGTTTGTAATTCTTGCTGACATGGAAAATATTATATACATGGGAATTTAAAATAAAATTTTGTAATATCAAATATATTAATTGCAATTTCTAATCATAATTGGAAACAATACAGCTTTTTCACATGTGCAATAGTAGCACTTCTTTCAATTCACATACAATTTTCCTTGCTTTTGTAAAGGATTGTTTTCTATAACACATCTCTATATTATATAGCATCTATGACTTGTTTACAGTACATCTATTCAGAGCTGGAAAACAGGGAATTGAGAAACATGTGATTGTAAAATCCTAATAGTTTGGAGCAGACCTGGGCATGTTATGGTCCCTGGGCCACATCCCTCTCATGAGGTCGAACTGGAAATTAGAAATCAAATTTAAATAAGTGTTGCAGGGAGGCAGGAAAAGCCGCTTGATACAGTCAGTTACTGGAGAGCAAGGAGAAAAAGTGTTCTGGAGCAGTCTTAAGTTGAAACAGTCCCAGTTCCTCATTTCTCAAAGCCCCTTGAGAAAATTGCCCAATTGCTGAATTTAAAGCATGGCTGCCCAACTTTTTAGCTTGCCTGGGCCACAGAGTGAAGAGGAATTGTCTGGGCTGCATATAAAATAGTTAAGAGTATATAAATAACAAACTTCCTTTTTTATATTTTATATTATCTTATGGGGCTGCATGCAGCCTGCAGCTTGGTCATGCCTGATTTAAGTTATAAAGCTTACAACTATTTCCAAGACCAATGCTAGCTATCCTTACATGGCATTTTAAGTTATGTTATAAATCTAACAGCAACTAACATTAATTTAGAAAATAAAATTTCAGAGAACTTGCATTATCTTTTTTTCTTCCATAGCTTTTCTTCAAAAAGGAGCACCTGTCTTTGTCCATATTTTTTGAATGCAAGTTAATTAATATCCCCTTAAGGTTTACTAGAATAAATATGGCAAGCAAAGAAATGTAGTGTTTTTTAGAAAGGAGGCGTGTAAGTGATGTTATGTTCAAAGAAGAAAGCCATTCAAAATACTGAAAGCTTTGCTGCAGTACCTTGTTCTAACACAACAGTAAAAATGTTGGAATGTGTTGTTTTCAGTTCAGAACATTCATGACTGTTTTCTATCACTGTGTACTAGGACTGTGATGGTGAACCTATAGCATGCAGAGCCCTCTCTGGCAGCCATCGCTCCAGCCCAGCTCTACCACACATGCGCCTTCCACTAGCCAGCTGGTCTTCAGGTCTCTGTTATGCATGTGGGGGGTGGTGTATGCAGGGGATGCAAGCGCATGCACGAGGGCAGTGGTGGGATTAAAAAAAATTACTACTGGTTCTGTGGGCATGGCAGGGGAATGATACTGCAAAATCCCCATTGTCTCCCCACCCCACTAACCTGCTTTCCAGCTCTATTCTCCTGTTCAGGGCAACAAAAGATCAGCTGGGAGGCAGCAGGGGCAGGCCAACCTATTTGCCAGTTTTCCGAACTACTCAAAATTTCTGCTATCGGTTCTCCAGAACCTGCGAGAACTGCCTGAATATCACTTCTGACCGGGGATGGTGGTGTGTGCAGCACATGCACTTGTGGAATGCTCACATTGCATTTTGGGGCCTCACAGTGCTCCCTTACACCCCATTTTGGCTTCTAGGTTGGTGCAGTCTTTCCAAGCCCAAAACAGAGCATGGGGGGAGGGACAGCATCACATTATGGGTGCATTCATTGCATTTCAGCACACGACAACAAAAGGTTAGCCATCACTGAACTAGGACATCTGAAACAGCTTAAGATTTCAGAGACCACAACTATGTTTTGTTCTGATATTAAATGAATTCTACACATAAAATATTCTGTAAACCTCAGAAAACCTTTTAGCCAAATTGCTATCAAAAGTTAGAATGCACAATCTAATAACCCTATTCTAAAGTCAACTATTAAGTGATTTACTGAAATGTAACAAAGGTTGCAGGGCAAAATATTTTCCTTGTTCCCAAACTATTTAGAACATGGCATTAAAAAAAAAGTAGCGTCTTTCCCAGCTGAAAGAATGTTATTTGAATGACAGATAAAGCTAATTCTTTCATGTGATTCAAAACACTTTTTAAAAATACAGCCCACCTTTGGCACTATTCTACACCAGACTTTAATAACAAATCATGTTTAATCATGCTTGACCTTGTGAAGTGTGCATTTCAAACACTTGTATAATATAGCAGAATTTAAGATGCTCAGCCAGAAAGCCTTTAGAGAAACCCCGTATTAAGGCTTGTCCATTCACAAATCCCACACCTTTCTTCTGTATCAAAGGAGAAAAAAGCACTCAATTTTTCTCAGCATAGAAAAGGTATCAAAAACTAACAAGATAGAATTTAGGGAATAAAAATGTTTCTTTCTTTAAGCCCTGCAACTTGACATGCTATTTGCTTTTGGGATGAATGTATCTTGGCAAATCTTAGTGGCTACAGTGATGCAATTTCTGAAATTACAGCACCAGCTGTCAACTTCTTGGCTCTCACTTTCCCAGGTGAACATCCCTACCTCAATCTTCCATATATTAATGGCTGATCCTGCATAATTTCCCAGATCAACAAAAATGTAAGAAAACAACAAACAAATCTTAGTTAACAAGGAAGATATTTTATTCTTCAATTGTAATTCTTGAATTGCTATTGCTTAATCAGGACCATTCTGTGGCAGTACCAACCCACTCAATAGCCTGAGCTGTGGGAGCTGCAGACCAGTCTTCAGTGGCAGTCTGTGAACTCCAGTCCTCTGAAAAGACATAAAATCACACTGGGCTTTGAAAAATATAAGTAACTTCCTCAATCTTCATTATCATATTTTGAGATTATTCTCCATGATTAGCAATTGAACTACAATTACAAATCTTTAAAATCTCTATTACAAAGATGAACAGAATCAGTCATTTCAATTAAGTACAAAACAGAGAATTTCAAATGGCCCACTTTTATGTGAATCAAGCTGATCTAAAGGATGACTTTGATTTCCGACATAAACCCATGAACTGGAAGGATCTTCATGTATCCTGAATTAAATAGACTTTTGTGAAATAGGAATATCTCAAGAACACTCAAAATGGCATTTGATTTGAAGGATTTAATTCAAGTAATTTAATTCAAACTGCTTTCTGTCCCAAACAGCACAGTAGAGAAATTGCTTGGTATGCTCTGCAGAGAAAGAAGATATTCAACAGGTCCTTGGAACAGTGTGCTCCTATATCAGTTAATATAAAATATTTCTAGTAGAGAACTTCAATGGATAAAACCATCTAATTCAGGTTCCTTTTTTAAACTCCTCTTCCAGCAAATAAGTGTCTCCCCCACCACAAATGTAGAGGCAAACTGACTTGTTGCACATTTTAGATGAAGGTATTACTTTCAAAACAGTAAAACCTGTGCTATGCCTGAGTAGCAATTTGAAATTAAAATTTCCAGCATAATATAAGTGGAAGCATTTTAAAAACTACCAAGAGGCAACTGGAAAAGGAGAATAAAGAAAGCTAACTGAATAGATTAATGGAGAATGAGAATGGATGTCTGAGCTCTGTGTGTCCATGTTTTAGATACTGGCTCCTACCACTTCTTTCTCAAACTTTGCATTTCTTGAATTTACCACGTTCTCAAAAGGGAATTAGTTTACCAATTATCATAACTTAAATTATCTATATGATACATCGTCCACTCAGCCTTCTTTCCAATTACACTTACCAGTAGTAATATCTACTTACCAGTGGGATAAGGCTGAATTGGGACAGAAGGCACTTGTACCCCTTCAGACCAATCAGACACCTCTGGTTGTGGAGGTGCAGTGAATTCAGGGGCAGGTGCTGTCCATTCACCCTGGAACTCCTCCTTGGTAACTGCCTTATCAGCTGCAGCCTGTTCTTCTTTTTCAATCTCTTTGGGATCTTGGTAGAAATAGAGATCAGGCATAACTTCCCATGGATGCTCATGGGAAATAGTACCACACATTCGAAGGACTTCTCGAGTCAACATCCACCACATCAGACCAACTGAGTGAGCTCCCTTGTTGTTGCAGGGAATAGCAATATCCACATAACGTAGGGGAGAATCTTTATTGCACAAAGCAAAGGTGGGAATGCTTACTTGAGAGACCGCCTGCTGCCAATTACCTCCAATAGACCAATTAGATCCCACAGATTAGGCCTCCT